TTTTTTTTTTTTTTTTTTTTTGTTCTTTTTTTTTTTTCCTCTCTCTCGTTTGGTTTTGTAAAGGGTAGTTTTGGAAACTTTAATTTAGGAGTTCGAGGTAGTTTAGAGTGTCTAGGTTGTTCATATAACTGGAGAACTATAACAGTCTAAGCTCACTGATCGCTATCAACTTTACGGTTTTAAAATGCGTTTAGTAGGGAGAAGATTTCACACCTTTATGAGGGATGTTTGATTAGGAGAGGTTTTCATACCCTTATAATCAATGTTTCGTTCTACTCTCTAACCGATGTGGGATCTCACGATCTATCCTCCTCGGGGGTCAACGTTCTCGTTGGCACACTACCCGGTATCTGACTCTGATATCATTTGTAACAACCCAAACCCACCACTAGCAGATATTGTCTATTTTGACTCGTGAAGTATCGTCATTAGCCTCACGATTTTAAAACATTTATACTATAGAGAGGTTTCCCATATCCAATCTACACGCCAAATCTCACAATCATCCAACTCATTTAAGACACCCAATCTAAACCACAAAAGTTGGGTTGTGTTATATATATATATATATATTTATTTTGTTGGAGTTGAGTTGAATTTTTTAAAAATAAAAAATTAGCCTATCATATTAATTCAAAAATAGGGTTACAGTCTAACACTACCAATTATTTTGTATACGTTTTAATTACTAATGTAACATATATCATGGATACGTATTTTTTTTTTTAAAAAAAAAACAATTCGTATTATTGGATCACCAATCCAATTAATTCAAAATTTCATGGTAGTCAAAAGATTTTGATAGAGACGCATATTTTAATATTAAAAAATTATTAAAAAAAAGAAAAAAAAATTGAGTTTCTAGAAGAAGAAAGTTTTAGATATTTTAATAATAGAAATCTTTTAAGAAAGAGATGTGAGTTTGAGAGAGAATATGTTAAAAGGAGAAAAGGTTAAAAAAAAGTTTGATTAAATTATAAAAAGTGTTTTTTTTTTTTTTTTAATGTTGCATTTATGTAAGAAATATTTCTCTACCATTTTTTTTTTTTTTGACATTTTTATAAGTATTTTTAAATTAATACTCGTTGTATAAATTATTTAACATTTCATATAAAATTTAAAATTTCGGACTAATTTTTATACAAAATGTTGAAAGATCCTAATTTAAAAATAATTTTGAAACGTTTATAAAAATTTTATAAAAGGTAAAATATATATATATATATATATATATATATATATATATATATGTAATATTGTAATTTGAGAAAAGAAAAATGATACTTTTAATATATTAAAATATTAAAATGATAAAGTTAAAAAGATATATTTTATAATTTAGTTTAAAAGTTTAGATAAGGACAATATTTTAATAATAGAAAACTTTAAGAAATAGATACTGAGTTTCACAAAGAAGTAATAGAGAATAATTGATGGCACAAAAATAGTAATATATTTTTAAATATTTCATTAATATTATTAATTTTTTTTAATAAACAAAAGATATGGCTAACCACACAAAATTTAAAAGATAAATTAAAAATAATTAAAAATCAAAGTGTTGCTTTATTGTTCTATACAAGGATCAAATTTCCTATGCCTAAGACTGACGTTCTGGAACAAGCCTCCTTTGTGACTATGCAGCTCACAAACGCTCACCCACCTAATTAGTAAGTAATATACTTATAGACTCCATTAGCTTACATATATTATTACATTGCATTGCTAGTGAATGACTGGTATTTTGGACGGAGGCTCGACCTCGTCATATATTATTATGAGACCCGATCTCTCACGTAAGCAAAATTTTGGGCTTTCCTTTTAAAAAATCTAACTTTAGGGATTTATTGAGGGTATTAGATGACAAAATTCAAAATGCAGATAAAAAAAATTTAGAAATTTTCTAGATACTCCAAAAACATATAAAAGAAAATAAGAATAGAGTGTTTTCTAATCAAAACTCTAGAATGTTAAGCTCTTTCGTTTTTGGTCAACTATAAATGTGTTCCGTTCTCTCTGAAGTTAACGAAATTGAATGGAATCTAAAATTGGTTAAAGAGAGTGACTCGGGGGAGTGTTGCGAAGAGAACGAGAAGGATTTGGGGGTTTAGGTGTGAAGGGGAGCTAAAAACCGAGAAAACAAGTGCGCAATTTCTATATTTTTTTTAGCATCGCAGATCTACTAAACGACATATCTTTAACACAAGGATAAACTAGTTTTCAATTCTTAAACTTGGTTGGCTTACATTTCTTTCATAGTAGAGGCTCGACCTCGTCATAATTCATTATAAGACTCGAGGTCCGACATAAGCATATTCTTCCGTATTTCTTTTAAAAATTATAACCTGAAGAATTTATTGAGGGTATTGGACGACGAATTTCAAGATGTGGTAGAAGATAATGATCCTGTCAAATTTTTTAGTTTTTGGCCAACGGTAAATGTTTGATTCTCTCTGTAATTAATAAAATTGAATGAGAATGATCACTTAATCATTATTTATTTTTGTAAGCATATAAAAGCACACAACACAGACAAGCATGACTGACCAGAGCTAATTCCAAAAGGAAAACACAACAAGAACATAATATAACCAACCACACATCAAAATACGAGGGAGCTTTTACTTAAGGTGAGACTCGATGTCCCTGGTGAGATTATTCATGAGATCAAGGTACTTATATGGATACGGAGACCCATCATCAAGTTTCTCATATTCCAACGTCAAAACAACCGAGCAATGTTCAGGTCCCTTCGGCACAACTTGATATATTCCCTTAAAAGTTTTGTAATGCTCAAACACATCTCCTTCTAATCCAATCAAAGTCACCGCCAGCTTCTCGTCATCAAATTCCACTTGTTCTTTCAAGACCTCATCCTTACCATCTTAACCATCAAACATACAAAAACAACGGGTTATTCACTTAACCCTAATTGAAAACAAAAACAATAAATCGATATCACGATCGTTGATACGTACCGATATTGTAGTTCCAGATTTTGATGGAGCCATGGCCATGGGTATCCCAATCACCTTCATGAACTTCAACATTTTTGAAGATGCCAGGGCTGATGTTGGGAATATGAGAAACTTGATGCTTGAGAACCTTATAGTATTTGTGAGCAGCTGCGTTTAATTCTAGTTCACTCACGAACTTCCCACGAAGAGACATTGTTTCAGAAACGGTGTTGGAGATTGGTTTGCAGATAAGACTCCCTTTATAGACACACACCCTTTGTGATGAACAAGTTCATGGTTTTTATTGGTTATTTCTTGCAATTATTTGAATGGGTACTCATATATAATTGCATTTGGCCTACTCAGATATCACAAATATACTTTTGATATTGATTAGGTGTATCATAATTTGAATGGGTAGCCACCTTCATCTACCTCCTACCTATTATTTATTTTCTGTATTCGTGACCACATTCAATCTGTAATTGATATTTTAAATGGTTACATATAGTCATCAGCCTTATAGTTTTAAAATGAGAAGTTTTTACATCATTATAGGACGGTGATATGTTTCGTAATAAAAAATGTTTCGTTATTCTTTTCAACTAATGTAGGACGGTGATATGGATCTCATCTAGGAATGTATCGTTACCCTTTCCAACTAATGAGGGAATGTTTCAGGGATGGTGACAGAAATCTCATGGAATGTTTGGTTACCCTTTCTAATTAATGTGGGATTGTATTTGAGACGGTGATGGAGATCTTGTATGGAAATATTTCATTACCCTCTTCAACTAATCTTGTAAAGAATGTTTCGTTACCCTTTCCAACCAACGTTGGATCTCATGTTGACTTTCGTTCTGTGGATTTTCCATTCTTAACTTCAAGATTTAAAGCTCGGAAACATTATTGAGACGGTGATCTATGGGGATTAGGATTCGTCTTTACTCTCCTAGCACTAACCACATGTATAAAATTAATTTTGGAATTTGTGCAACAAAATATAAGGCTTTTTAGAAGCACGTGTTGGGTGTGGGACAATTAGGGCATGAACTTAAATAATGACACAACCAACCTCCACACCTTATATTTACTTTTAGACATTTAAAAATTTAAATATTTATATCGACATAAACTATAAAAAAGAAATTAGGAGAAAATAAGTAAAATGGGCCTAATAATGGGCCTTTTCATTATCCATTCCTTCCTCGGCTACAAAATGGGCCTCATAATGGGCCTCATAATGGGCCTATAGAGAATTTTGAAGACATAATTTAAAGGCCATCAAATTTTTGGTAAGATAAGTATGGACGTTTTAATTAAAATGTTCAATATCCAATATTCTGAAATATCAGATTATGAAAAAAAAAAATTGCAGTAAAATATTATACCATCTAAAACAACACGGAAGTTAAAAAAAAATGGTAAATTTAATACAAGTTAAACTTTATTTACGGGTCGTTGTGATTGCATAGTTTTCAAACGCTGCTCCACAGTTAACAAACACTTGAAAAAAGAAATATAGAATACAA